AAATTTTATTCTATTATTGGTTACTATAATAAATTAACCACAGACTTTCAGTCTCATTATCAAACAGACTTTTGCTTCTTGCTGACCAGAGGCTCCTGGAAAGGACTATACTAAGAACATGGAAGTATTGATACTTCAAAAAACAGACTCTTAAGTACAGGCTTCAGAGCTGACATTGCTTAAGTGGACAATGGACTGAGTCAAGATTTCTAAGACTTTTTTATAGTCCAGAAGCTGACACACAGGATGAAAGCAAAGTGCCCCAATACCCAGCTGGATAAGAATTACTAGGACTGAATGAACTGAATTAAATGAAATTAAATTGTGGGTACTTGTTTGGAATATGATTGGTATTATTCTTTTTTTAAATTTTATTTATACATTTGAGAAAGAGAGAGCACAAGCTAGCAGAGGGGCAGAGGGAGAGGGAGAAACAGACTCTCCACTGAGCAGGGAACCTGATGCGGAACTCAATCCCAGTGACCTGAGCCAAAAGCTGAACACTTAACCAATTGATTGGTATTATTCTTAATGTCCTATTCTATATTTAATGAATACGTGAAGTCTATTTTTTTAAGAATCATCTCTAACCTTCAACTTAGTAGATTATGCTTTTGTAAACTGAATTATCACATCTTAAAGTAATATCTGATTCTCACTGACCCACTCAGAATTCAGAAACAGTTATACTGAGTTTTACTTTTCAGGAAAATATTGTAATTTTCATCAGTTCAATAAGAATCTATACTCCTTGGGGCATCTGGGTGGTGTAGTAAATTGAGCATCCAACTCTTGCTTTGGGCTCAGGTCGTGATCTCAGGGTCATGAGTTCGAGCCCCTGACCAGGCTCTGCGCTCCACTCCGCGTGGAGTTGGCTTGAGATTCTCACTCCCTCTCCTTCTGCCCCCCCACCACAGGCACGCATGTGCATGTGTGCACTCTCTCTCTCTCAAATAAATAATTCTAAAAGAAAAAAGATTTGTAAAAAAAAAAGTAAAAAAAAAAAATTTATACTCTTTTTACCTATATAACTAATCAATTGTGCAACCAAGGCCATACCTGGAATGTCTTAATTAAAAATGATTTTCATTCAGTTATGACAAGCCCACACTAGAAATATATATGGAACCAATTCCTATGTCACACTGCCAGGAAACTGCCCTAGTACCTAACTTACAAGGTCTCAGCATCATAGGTGGCAAGGTCATTTCCTACTAGCCAAAAACCATGGCAGATCTGGAAACCTTCAGAAATAAAGAGAATCACCCAAATTTATAGATACCACAGGTGAAATCTGCTGGAGAATGTACTGGCCTTAGGATAGAAAAGAAAATAAGTTTTTTTATTTTTTTAATCTAATCCAAGATCCTTATGAAAACTTCTGGACTGAAATCAATTTTGCAGCCTTAGTAGATGCTGGATACTGTAGGGCTCTAGATTTTCAGAGAAAACTCAAGGTACTTATATGCTTAATTAACACTATCACTGAACCTAAATTATTAGGGCAAACCCATGTGAGATGACTCTTTCCTTTAAAAAAAAAGTATACATTTGGAAATTATTTATGATCAAAAGAGAGTAGACTATCAGAAAATTTATCCAAAACTTAGAAATAAGGCAAAAACAGTGGGAAATCTTTTCAATATTGATGTGGGCAAAGGCCATCCAAGGATTATTTAGTTCATTCCACTGCTTACTACTGATTAAAAGTCATAGACTTAGGTTGTTTCCTAACTCGACTAGATTTTTGTCCAATAAAGATGCCAACAAGGAAGTATCACTGAAGAGAATGGCTTGAGTAGCTGGAGAATCATCTTGTTTCAGAGGTCTCACTCTTCCCACTTCTATTCTAGAAATGGACAAAACTCATCTCAGACTCATGCTACCCTGCAGTCTAAAACAAAAAATAGCCTCTGGCCTTTATGTTTTTCTGCTCCAAAGTCCAGAAAGTAGTAGGATGTAGTAGTAGTAGGAAGATATTTCTCTTTAAATAATTCCCATTTCAAATAGGCTAAAATAAATAATGTCATTCTGAAGGGTAGAAAAATGCTATTAAGTTAAAAAAAAAAAAAGACTTGCCAAATTCTCGTTGTTTATTATGGAATAATCTGAGATGGACAAAAATACATAGAGTAGATCCCCATAATAATTTCTAGGATAAAAAGATACATAATATGTATACACACATATACATCATTATGTACCAAGAACATTTATCCAACTGCAGAACCAAATCCACAGACTATCAATGTACTTTATAGGAGAATGTTATGAAATCTAATAGTAAGCATTTTAAAGTCCAATAAACATAAAGAATAAACGTAAGCACAAGCAATGGAAGGTATTAGATAAAATTCTAATAAAAAATAGCACTCTGTACACTAACATATATTACTATTTGACTTCACCACAACAGTGAAGTTGGCTACGAGGTATGAACATCCTATTAATGAATGAGGAAATAGTCTCAAAATAGTTAAGTCATTTGTTAACATAACAATTACCAAGCTGATAAGCAGAACAATGACTCAAACTCAAGTTTTGAAGTTCTGTGCTTCGTCTAGTAGGCTTACTTGTGGAAACAGGATAAGTAAAGTGAGAAGTATGACAGTATCCTGTTTAACTAATAGGGTACTTAACTAAAATATAACCCAAGATTTCAGAACCTTACCATATTATCAAGTTACTGCCAAAAAGCTAAAAGTCCCCATCTACACAGTATTATCAATTTATTAGTTGTGCCAATTTATGGACACAGCTGAGCGGACATTAGTGAAAACTGTCATCTCTGTTCTATAGTAAATTACAACCTTGTTGGGGAAACAATTCTAATGTGAAATTATTCAGCATACATTAAGAGTGCATGATGCAGTAAAAGTAAGTGTAGACTTGAATGCATATCAATGGAGCATTAGATAGCAGCAGCAACAAAGGCACAGAAAGCAGAACAAATGTGTAAGAAACAGTACTAAGGGGAAAAGTAGAACTGAATGAGATAAAACACAACAAATATGCATTTAAAAATACAAGACAATGATAGCCATTTGCAAAAATACACAGGTATTCACCAAAGATATTAAAATAGCAGCCTAGATATGGGAATGAAATGGAAATGGAATATGAAGATAAAAGTGAAAACAAACAAAAAAGCACAAGCCTTGCTAGAATGGGATATAATGCAGCTATTAAAACTACATATGATCTACAAAGATGGACATGTGACAATAATCAAGGTAATTTTTTTAAATTAAAGCTGCATTTTTTTCCTGTATTATAAATAACATTTTCCTTACTTTAAAATTGTTTTGAGTATAGTTGACACACAGTGTTACATTAGTTTCAAATGTACAACATAGTGATTTGGCAATTTTGTACATTATACTATGTTCACAAGTGTAGCTACCATTTGTCTCCATTCACTGCTATTACAATATCACGGACTATATTTCTTATGCTGTGCCTTTTATTCCAATGACTTATTCATTCCACAAACGGAAGCCTGTATCTCTCATTGCTCTTCACCCATTTGCCCTCCTCCCCCTACTCTCTCTGCCCTCACAACCATCAGTTTGTTCTATTTATAGGTTGGGATAATCAAGATAATTTTTTTTCTTTTTTTCAAAGACTTTATTAATCCATTTTACAGAGACACAGCAAGAGAGGGAACACAAGCAGGGGGAGTGGGAGAGGGAGAAGCAGGTTTCCCGCCGAGCAGGGAGCCCGACGTGGGGTTCAATCCCAGGACACTGGGATCATGACCTGAGCCGAAGGCAGACGCCCAACACCTGAGCCACCCAGGTGCCCCTCAAGATAATTTTTAAGTGACAAAAGCAAGATAGAGTATGCTATGTATAATATCCCCTTTCTGAATATGTGTGCCTTGATCTATATATTTACATGCACAAGTATGAAAAACAAAGTCTGGAAGAATGCACCAAACTAAAAACAGTGGTAATCTTTAGGGATGGAATAGTGGGCAAAGAATTATTTCCATTTCTGAACTTTTTAATAATTTTACAATTTAAGTTTGTAAACAAATATTTAATAAATTTTGGAGTAGAAGTAGGTTCAAACACTGACTATATGATAGATTTCTTATTAAATAAAGAAAACTACACCAATTCATGGGGTATAAAATTTAAAAGAGACAAAAAATACAACACTCCTAGTACAGTGTTCCCCCCCATTCCCTTATGTAAAAGCACGCAAGTAAAATTAAGAATGGGTGATAATTAGAAATGCAACAGAAATTTAGAGAAGGAAAAGATCACAGAAGATTAGAGTGGTTATGGAAAATCAAAGGAAAGGCTGGGATTTGAGCTGAGCTGTAAAAAAAAAAAAAAAAAGGTAGAATATTAGTGAGAGAGTTGGCAGGAAAGTGTTCCCAAAATAAAAGAAATAATAGAATAAATACATAGGAAGAAGAATGAGATACATAAGCATGTGTAACAGAAACAGTGCCTAACAAAATGAACGCTCAATGAATATCTGTTAAATAAATGAAAAGGGGGTGCACATTAGGTAACACTAGAAAAAAAATAAGACTGCTTAGGTACGATAAGGTCATATTTTAGCGATCCCTGAGGTCAAAACAGAGATTAGATTTAATGCAGTTGCCAATGCAAAGCTTCCAGAAGTGGAATTACCTAGGAAAGCCACATTTTAGGAAAATGTGGCCTGGCAGCAGAAAGCAAGATAGAATATAGAATAATTAACTAGTTATAATGAATAATTAGGCTATATACATAAATATATTTATACACAAAGGATATAACATATATTACAAATATAATAATATTATTACAGTCAGGAAATGAGATGGGGAAATGACTAAGGTGGAAGCTAATTAGAACAGAAATGTGACTGAGATATTAGAATGATACCAAACTGTCCTAGTAATTACAATTAAGAATTTGTAGTTACAAATAAATACATATATAAACTTTGAATTACTTCTAAATAACATGGAGTAAGAGTCAATCTTCTACACGCTAACTCACCTGATCCTCTTGAAACAGAATGCCTTTCTGAGCATTAATTCGTTTAAACAGATCGCCTCCTTCACAGTAATCCATCACTATGTAGAGAGAGCCATTTTCTACAAAATATAAACATTTCATTTCATTTTTTAAAATATATGTCAAAAGCATAGCTAAATTAAAGGTACTTAAGGGTTTACTAAAAAAAAGTGATTAATTATGTTCTATTAAAAAACAGAACCACCTTCTGGGCGCCTGGGTGGCTCAGTTGGTTAAGCGACTGCCTTCGGCTCAGGTCATAATCCTGGAGTCCCTGGATCGAGTCCTGCATCAGGCTCCCTGCTCGGCAGGGAGTCTGCTTTGCCCTCTGACCCTATCCCCTCTCATGTGTTCTCTCTCATTCTCTCTCTCAAAATAAATAAATAAAATCTTAAAAAAAAAAAAAAAAAAAACAGAACCACCTTCAAAAGAATTAGACTGCAAAATCAAGGTGTACTGCTTATACAGATTGTATAACCTGGGTTAACAGGCAGCTCTATCATTAATGATTTTCTAAGAATACAGCATCTTACTGAATAGCAGTATGCACAATGATCTAAACATCTCTGGAATACAGACAAAATGCAGACAAATATACTTGGTTTCATTTAATAGATAAGATTTCCTTAAACATCATCTATAAAAACATGTTTTTCCACCAATTTGTCAAAGATGGGTTATAACTTAGTTTTCAATTTACCATTACTTTTCAGCTTTGTTTCATCCACTTAATCAATTACTTACTAAACAAATAATGTTGCAATGAACTCTGAGGATTCAACAGTGAATAAGATTGTACACTGCTGGAGCTTTCTCTGATTTTACTTCTATTTTTATAAATTGTATATAATCTGGGCAATATAATTGTATATAAAGGGCAATACCTTATTCCCCTTTATGTCTCAGTCCACAGAGAGACTTCTATGACTCTTCCCATGGGTAGAGAGGACTAGAAGAAACCTTCTCATCCTTCCCTCCACCTTTATTCTTATGAAAGATTAACACTGTGCTTATTCTGCACAAATTATGGAGTAGCTGATATCACTTCTAACAATACTAAACCAATACTTACTAGTGAGACTACTGCAACTCAAAGAAGTTTTTGCTTCTCTTACTTCTCTGTGCTTATAGCCGTAATTCCATCAGTAGTTGTATCTTACACCTTGTGGTAGTGTTCTTGTTACCTGTAGTTCTCATACCTCCTTTTTGATAAACTGCTTCTAATGTGCTATGGACTGGGAATCTATATGACTGACCTAATTAAGATTCTGTATAATTCGTGGGCACTTCTAAGGAAGATGGTGGAGTAGGAGGACCCTGGCCTCACCTCCTCCCATGGATACAACTAGATAACAACCACATCAGTGTAAATAACCCAGAAAATGACTGGAAGACTCTCCACAGCTAAATGTAGGGAAGAGGCCAGATGGAAGAGGGTAGAAAGGGTAGAAATGTGGTCAAGGTAAGGTCTACACCAACACACATAATTAAAACAGCAAAAAGTAGTGATAACAAAAGAAGTTTCCAAACAGCAAGAGATGGGGCTCCTCAGTGGCTCAGTTGGTTGAGTGTCTGACTCTTGGTTTCATCTCAGGTCATGATCTTAGAGGTGGTGAGATACAACCCTGCATCAGCTCCGCGCTCAGTGGGGAGTCTGCTTGAGGCTTCTCTCCCTCTGCCCCTCACCCATTAGCATGCATGTATGCACTCTCTAAAATAAATATATAAATCTTAAAAAAACAAAACAAAACAAAAACAGCAAGAGAAGACAATTACATACAAGGGAAATCCCATAAGACTATCAGTGCATTTTTCAGCAGAAACTTTGCAGGGCCAGAAGGCTGTGGCATAATATATTCAAAGTGCTGAAAGAAAAAAAAAATCTGCAGCCAAGAATACTCCATTCAGCAAAGCTATTATCAGAATAGAAGGATAAATGGAGAGTTTCCCAGACAAAATTAAAGGAATTCTTGACCACTAAACCAGCCCTACAAAAAACGTTAAAGGGGACTCTTTGAGTGGGAAGGAAAAACCTTAAGTAAAAGAAAAGTGGGAAGCACAAAAGCAGTAAAATAAGTATATGTGTAAAAATCAGTCAAGGGATTCAGAAAACATAAGGATGTAAAGTATGACACCATATGCCTAAAACATGGTGGGGGGGAGAGTAAAGAATGGGTTCAAACCTAAGCAACCATCAAGTTAACATAGACGGCTATATGCATAGATTTTATATATAAACATAAAGATAACCACAAATCAAAAACCAGTAATAGATTGCAAAAAAATAAAGAGAAAGGATTCCAAGTTTATAACTGAAGAAAGTCAACTAACTGTGAGAGTAGAGAACAGAGAAGAAAGGAACATAGAAGAACTACAAAAACAACCCTAAAATGAGTAATAAAATGGTAATAAGTACATACCTATCAATAATTACTCTGAATGTAAATGGACTAAACGATCAAGAGACACAATGGATAAAAAAGCAAGAACCATCTATATGCTGGCTACAAAAGACTCACTTAAGACCTAAAGGCACATGCAGACTGAAAGTGAAAGGATGGAGGCGCCTAGGTGGCTCAGTCATTAAGCGTCTGCCTTCGGCTCAGGTCATGATCCCAGGGTCCTGGGATCGAGCCCCACATCAGGCTCCCTGCTCCGCGGGAAGCCTGCTTCTCCTTCTCCCACTCCCCCTGCTTGTGTTCTGTCTCTTGCTGTGTCTCTCTCTGTCAAATAAATAAAAAATCTTTAAAAAAAAAAAAAAAGAAAAGAAAGGGAAAGGATGGAAAAGCATTTATCATGCAGAGGGAAGTGAAAAGGAAACTGGGATAACAATACATATATCGGACAAACTAGATTTTTAAAACAAAGACTATAACAAGAGACAATGAAGGTCACTACATAATCATATAAGAAACAATCCAACAAGAAAATATAACAACTGTAAATATGTATGCACCCAACATGGGAGAAACCAAAGACAAAAGGCAGCTAAAAAACATAAAAGAAGTAGTCAACAGTAATTCAGTAATAGTAGGGGACTTTAACACTGCACTCACATCAATGGATAGATCACCCAAACAGAAAATAAACATGGAAATAGTGGCTTTGAATGACACATTGGACCGGATGGATCTAACAGATATATTCAGAACATTTCATCCTAAAACAGCAGAATACATATTCTTTTCAAGTTCAGATGGAACACTCTCCAGACGAGATCACATATTTGGACACAAAACAAGTCTCAACAAATTCAGGAAGATCAAAGTCATACCATTCATCTTTTCTGACTGCAACACTATGAAACTAGAAATCAACCACAAGAAAAAATCTGGAAAGAACACACATACAGAGAGGCTAAATACTAAACAATGAATGAGTTAACCAAGAAATCAAGGAGGAAATCAAAACATACATGGAGACAAATGAGATTTAAGTCACAATGGTCCAAAATCTTTGGCATGCAACAAACACTGCACCAAAAGGGATTTATAGCAATACAGGCCCAACTCAAGAAGCAAAAACAATCTCAAATAATCAACCTAATCCTGCACCTAAAGGAGCTAGAAAAAAAAGAACAAAATCAAAAACCAGAGGTAAAGAAATAATAAAAATTACAGCAGAAATAAGTGATATAGAAACTTAAAAAAACCAATACAACAGATCAGTGAAACCAGGTATTGGTGCTTTGAAAAGATCAACAAAATTGATTAACCTTTACCCAGACTCACCAAAAAAAGAGATGATTTAAGTAAGCAAAATCAGAAATGAAAGAAGAGAATTAACAACCAACGACACAGAAATACAAAGGATTGTAAGAGAACATCATGAAAAATTATATGCCAACAAATTGGACATTCTAGAAGAAATGAACAAATTCCTAGAAACATATAACCTCCTAAAACTGAATCAAGAAGAAATAGAAAATTTGAACAGACCGAATACCAGCAATGAAATTGAATCAGTGATCAAAAAACTCCCAGCACGGGGCACCTGGGTGGCTCAGTCATTAAGCGTCTGCCTTTGGCTCAGGTCATGATCCCGAGGTCCTGGGATTGAGTCCCACATCGGCTCCCTGCTCTGCAGGAAGCCTGCTTCTCCCTTTCCCACTCCCCCTGCTTGTGTTCCCTCTCTCGAGGTCCCTGTCAAATAAATAAATACTTAAAAAAAAACAAAATTCCCAGCAAACAAAAATCCAGGATGAGACAGCTTCACAGGTGAATTCTACCAAATATTTAAAGAAGTTAAAATATATTCTTCTCAAGCTATTCCAAAAAATATGAAAGGACGGAAAGCTTCCAAATTCATTCTATGAGACCAACATTACCATGATACCCCCCCCAAAAAAAAAAACAGATAAAGACACAACAAAAAAAGAAAACTACAAGCCAATATCTCTGACAAACATATATACAAAAATCCTCAACAAAATATTAGCAAACCAAAACCAACAATACATTAAAAAAAATCATTCACCCACAATCAAGTGGGATTTATTTCTGGGACGCAAGGGTGGTTTGATATTTGCAAATCAATTAATATGATACACCATGTCAACAAGAGAAAGTATAAAAACCATATGATCATTAATAGGTGAAGAAAAAGCATTTCACAAAGTACAATATCCATTCATGATAAAAACCCTCAACAAAGCAGGTCTGGGGGGAACATATCACACATAATAAGGGCCATATATAAAAAATCTACAGCTAACATCATATTCAATGGTGCAAAATAGAGAGCTTTACCACTAAGGTCAGGAACAAGACAAAGATGTCCACTCTCACCACTTTTATTCAACATAGTACTAGGAGTCCTAGCCATAGCAATTACATAAGAAAAAGGAATAATAGGCATCTAAATTACAAAAGAAAAAGTAAAACATTCATTATTTGCAGATGACATGATCCTATACATAGAAAACCCAAGACTCTACCAAAAAACTATTAGAACTGACAAATGAATTCATTAACGTCTCACAGGATATAGAATCAATGTATATAAATCCATTGCACTTCTATACACTAATAATGAAGTAGCAGAAAGAGAAATTAAGAAAACGGGCACCTGGGTGGCTCAGTCCATTAAGTGTCTGCCTTCAGCTCAGGTCATGGTCTCAGGGTCCTGGGATCGAGCCCCACATTGGGCTCCCTGCTCAGCAGGAAGCCTACTTCTCCCTCTCTGCAGCTCCTCCCCATCCCCGCTCGTGCTCTCTCTCTCTCTCAAATAAATAAAATCTTAAAAAAAAATATTAAGAAAACAATCCCATTTATAATTGCACCAAAAACAATAAATTACCTAGGAATAAACTTAACCAAGAAGGTCAAAGACTGGGATGCCTGGGTGGCTCAGTCAGTTGAGTGTCTGCCTTCTGCTCAGGTTGTGATCCCAGAACCTGGGATCAAGTCCTGTATTGGGCTCCTTGCTCAGTGGGGAGCCTGCTTCTCCCTCTACCTGCCATTCCCCCAGCTTGGGTGCATGTGGTCTGTCTCTCTCTTTCTGACAAATAAATAAATAAAATCTTAAAAAAAAAGAAGGTGAAAGACCTGTATTCTGAAATTATAAAACACTTATCGGGCGCCTGAGTGGCACAGTTGGTTGAGCGCTGGACTCTTGGTTTCAGCTCAGGTCATGATCTCAGGACTGTGAGATCCAGCCCATGTCAGACTCCATGCTCTGCTAGCAGGGAGTCTACCTGAGAGTCTCTCTCTCCCTCTCCCTCTGCCCCTCCCCCTACTTGCTCACTCTCTCTCTCTCTCAAAATAAATAAATAAATCTTTTAAAAAAGACAATTATAAAACACTGATGAAAAAAATTGAAGACGACACAAAGAAATGGAAAGATATTCCATGTTAACTGATTAGAAGAATATTGTTAAAATGTCCATACCACCCAAAGCAATCTAAGGATTTAATGCAATCCCTATCAAAATACTAACAGCATTTTTCACAGAACTAGAACAAACAATCCTAACATTTGTATGAAACCACAAAAGACCCCAAATAGCCAAAGCAACCTTGAAAAAAACAGGGGTGCCTTGGTGGCTCAGTTGGTTAAGTGTCCAACTCCTGTTTCGGCTCTGGTCATGATCTCAGGGTTGTGAGATTGAGCCCCTGTCTGGCTCTGCACTCAACGGGGAGTTTGCTTGAGATTCTCTCACCCCTTCCCCATGCATAAATAAATAAATCTTTAAAAAAAAAAAAAGAAAACTTCCATTAAAGATATAAAAATTACTTTAGAAACAGTAAGAAAAAAAATTAAAGGGGATAAAAACACAGAATGTAGGAAATATTATAATAGTACACAGACACCTGTATAAGAATGTTCAGTGCAACATTATCTCCCAATAGTGAAAAATTAAAAACAACCTAAGTATCCATAACAGAAAACTGGCTAGACAAACTGTGACAGAACCATAAAATGCAAACAATGGGATACACTGCAGTTGTTACAAGAAAGCTGTAAAGAATGTGGAGCGCCAATACATAATGACATGGAAAAATATCCCTGAGATCTAAAGTGAAAAGAACAAGATGCAGAAATACATAATATGATCCCCCTTGTTTTTATTTTTTTTTAAAGATTTTATTTATTCATTTGAGACAGGGAGATAGAGAGAGAGAGAGAGAGAGAGCATGAGCGGGGGAGAGACGGAGGGAGGGAGAGGGAGAAGCAAGCTCCCTGCTGAACCAGGAGCCCAGTGTGGGGCTCGATCCCAAGACCCTGAGATCATGACCTGAGCTGAAGGCAGACACTTAACCATCTGAGCCACCCAGGCTCGCCCCTAATCCCCCTTGTGTTTAAATGTTAAAAGTTATATGTAGGGGCGCCTGGGTGGCTCAGTTGGTTGAGCGACTGCCTTCAGCTCAGGTCATGATCCTGGAGTCCCGGGATCAAGTCCCACATCGGGCTCCCTGCTCGGCGGGGAGTCTGCTTCTCCCTCTGACCCTCCCCCCTCTCATGTGCTCTCTCTCTCTCTCTTTCATTCTCTCTCTCAAATAAATAAATAAAATGTTTAAAAAAAAAAAAGTTACATGTAGATGTTTGCTCCAGAAAATACAATAAACACTGAATTAATGACAAAGTTTACCCCTAGGGGAATGGGAATGAGGATGTTGTGGGGTGAGCAGAGAATTTAGGGCTCATGCCCTCTGTACTTTTTGAATATGCTTACCATGAGCATTTATTCCTTTAAAATTAAATAGCAGTATTAAAAAAAACCCTTAAAGAATGTGCTACCTCTTTTGAATCATTGAGATGTTTCTATGTGAAGCATTCTACATGAACACAAAACACGTACCAGAGTATTTGTTGACATACATTAAAAACTTTTTATTTGAAATATTAAAATTTTGGTGATGGAAGAGAAAAGAAACTGAAAGAGACGTGAGGAAAAAGATAAAGGAATCCAAGCTCATGGGAAGGAGATAGTTAACACTGTACTCCTGTACACGTATAAATGTTCATTCCACTACCATCATGAAATAGAGTACCTTATGACATAATCTGTTAACTGATCCATATTTTTTTTAAGTATGTTCTACTTTAGTACGTACCTAGTTAATCTGGGAATGAGTATACTTTTGCTCTAATTCAGATTCTATGTGATTTGACCCTAAAAGAATCATTTAAACTATCTACTACTTTCAATCTAAATTATCTTTCTGCTACTGGCTGGAGTGCTTAATTGTGATTATCAAGAGGAAATTGTGTTGCTGGAACACAATCAAGACAAGGAGGACTATTACTGGAACTCCGTAGATTCACTGAGGTTCCTCTTTTACTCTCTTGCCAAATAGCCATTATTAATGAAAAACTGTAACAAATATAGTACTCTTAAAGACTCAGATCCTGCAGTGATAAAGGTTTGGGTTATTCCACTAGGCAAAACAGAACACACCCAGCCAAGATGCTGCAGAGGGCAAAGGAGAACAAGGAATTGGTTGTAGAAGGAGAAAAAACTGATTATAAACTTAGAACTCATAAGCAGCTGGAAACTCAGGAGCTGAAAAAGCTATTCTTTTTTTTCTTCCCACCCCCATTGTCTTAAATAAACATTAATGGTGTCAAATTAAATATATATATATATACACACACACATAGTATAGAAACACACACACGTAATATATATACACATATAGTATACATATACGTATAGAGTATATACGTACATATGGTACATATGTACACATACACTACATATATACATATACTATATATATATAGATATAAATGTATACATACATACTTTGTTTTGTAATGTGTAGAGATTTATGATATTATGACTTCAAAAGGTCTTCAAAAAACCATCTTGATCTGTCTTTAGAGAAGCTTTATCTTAGTTCCTGCATTACTAAATATAATGGTATATATTTTCAAAACAGCATTTTAAGCTATGACATTTTAAGAACCTGAGAACACTTTCAACATACCTCACTACTATGAAAATGAGGTATACAGGATAACAAAAATGAGTAGGATCCTTTCTAAAGATCAGAACATTTTCTTAGTGGCAGTAGTGGTAGCCCTTAAAAGAAATTTAATTTAAAATGACGTAAACTACTGTTCTTGTTTTGTCCAAATTCTTATACTTAACCACATTGCTTCTTTTTTTTTTTTAAGATTTTATTTATTTATTCATGAGAGAGAGAGAGAGGCAGAGGGAGAAGCAGGCTCCCAAGGAGCAGGGAGCCCGATGCGGGACTCAATCCCAGGACCCTGAGATCATGACCTGAGCCGAAGGCAGACGCTTAACCATCTGAGCCACCCAGGCGCCCACCACATTGCTTCTTTTTAAGCAATCATAGTAACAGTGAGCCAAAATAAAATTACACATGGGCAGTGTGGTGTAGTGTTAGGTAGAAGCTAGACCTAAGCAGTGGAAGGAATGCCCTAAGGCAGACTCCCAATCCTTGAAGGGGAATGACAGATAAGAGCTGGAGGCAAGGACGGTGATAAATCAGCTACACATTAAAAAGCCTGGGGCACAACATCTGACCTTGTGGCTTCCAAGACCTTGGGGCTGACAAACTAAAGAGCCACAGGTGCAGAACAAGCGCTCTCCTCTGCCACCTTTGCCCCTGGGTAACCCCTAGACTCATAATGCATTTGAATTGTGGGTACAGCCCCACCGGATGGAGAAAGGCTGCCCAGACCTTTCCGTACAAACCTTGTAGGGCCAAAAACTCCACCTCCCAATCCATGGGAGGAGTCTCCCAAATGACTGAAAACAGACTCCATTAGAGACCACCCACAGTACATCGCAGCTTCTCCCAACCCACAGAGATGCAACAAATATCCAGTCACAAAACAACATAGGGTAGGTTCCAACTGGTGGAACCTGCTGCTCTCCCATCTTGACAGTGTACATGCACTTTTTTTTTTTAAGATTTTATTTATTTATTTGACAGAAAGAGAGAGAGCAAGCACGAGCAAGAGTGAGCACAAGCAGGGGAAGCAGCAGAGGCAGAGGGAGAAGCAGACTCCCCGCTGAGCAGGGAGCCTGATGTAGGGATCGATCCCAAGACTCTGGGATCATGACCTGAACCAAAGGCAGATGCTTAATCAACTGAGCCACCCAGGCGCCCCTGTACATTCATTTTAATAAACTGCTTTGTGCTTGCTACTTTCCTTCTAGCTGTCTTTTTAGATCACAGATTACCACGCAAATCTTCTCATGGGGAATCCAAGGACTGAGACCTCCATTCACACAATGCATACTCTCCCACCAGTAACATCTCTATTACCCTAGGATCAAGCTGATACTCATATGCATAGGTACTGAAGCAAAAATGATATACTTTTCTCCCTGAAAATACATCATAAGTAAAATATCCAAAAGCTGTCACATGGCTTAGTTCTTTTGAACTCTCTTGCAAAATTTATCTGACCTTCAAATGATTCTCTATACTGGACAATATTTGGATGCTTCATGTTTGCCAATACTGCAACTTCTCTCCTTGATTCTTCCCTTTCTTTACTGGACATCTTAAATGGGAGAGAAAAAGAAAATATTAAATTAGACCATCAATAGACAATCTGAAAGTCCATCAATAAGAGAGTAGTTTAAAAACAACAGTACCAATAAAGCACAGTCAAAATAACAAAATAAAGACAGAAGTTAAAAAGAATAAGTTGAATCCACAAGTAAAAACTTTTTAAGATGTTCAAACTAGGTTAAGTTACAGAACAGTAGGTGTATTTTTTTAAAACACTTAAATACATAAACACAAGCACACAGCATAGAAAAAAATCTGCAAGGATATACAGACTATTCTAAAATTAGTGGTTCTCTCTGGGATTATGGTAGCCTTCCACTTTACATTATGCAATGCCATATTTTTTTTTTAATTCTCTAACAATAAGCCCTATTGAAATCAGTGTATTAGTTCAATAACCAAACAAAAAATATACTTACTCTTGAGATGTTAATTTCCTTGATAACATATTGCCTGCCATCTTCCGTAGATTTAACAAGAATGGCTTTTCCAAATGAACCTTCTCCAATCTTCTGTAGTCTAACATACTTTTCCATGATTCTTTTTCTAAAGCATCTTAACAGATATACTAGACATTAAAAAAAGTAACAGTTAACAGAGATAAAACATGTCTTCCATAACAATTATAATGTTTAATTCAATCCTAATTCCCTAGTGATTTGCTTACTTAAAAACATTTTAAAAAAACGATGATTGCTTAAAAAGAAGCAATGTGGTTTAAAATCTCTACTCAATATTAAATGAACTTTATCCAATTTTACTCATGTGACAGTTATAACTAAAAAGAGAAAAACAATGACATTTCAATTTTATAAGAATGCTTTGGAAAGTCAGATACTGTATATACTTAATGTATATGGAGAGAGACAAACTTTTTCCTATGTGAATTAATTAGCAGCATTACTTTAGTATCTCCAATAAGAATACATTTCCCAAAGTTATTTAACTAATCCTCTTATTAGACATTTAAATTGTTTACATTGTCTGCTATTACAAAAGAACTTTAGATAAAATTTCTGTACATACATTTTTATGTACTTATTGTAAGGATCTCCTTAGGATAAATTATTTGTCCAAAGAATATGCACATGTTAAAATTCAGGAACATAGAGCTTAACTGTCTTACAGAAATGTCTACCAACTTACATTCTAACCAGCAGTATATAAAAGTGCCTGTTCCTAGAGAGCCTTTTAACACTGGTTATTATTTATTAATCTTGGAGAAGCCATAAAGGGTAGTAGTTAACAAGTACTAAAACCTTAGAGTCAGGAAGCCTGGATTTAAATCCTGACTCTCGCTTTTTTGTTATACGACACTGGACAAGTTACTCAGCTTTATGTGCCTTAGTTTGTTAACCTGTAAAATGTGGGTAACAATAGTACACACTCATAGAACTGGTGGGAGGATTAATTTCAGTATTACACTGTAGAACAGTGCCTGGCACACAGTGAGCACTGTGTCACTATTTGTTGCTATTGTTACTTATTACAATCAACAGAGAAATGGTGCCTCATTTTTTATTTCTTTTGCTTATCAGTTAATTTGAAAAATTCTTCCACATTTATTGAACATTTGTATTCTTTTTTGACCTATTCATGTTTTCTGTTCATTTTCTATTCAAAGTCTTTTTATTAATTTGTAAAAGTCCCCTCTTTAATGAAGATGTTAGCCCTCCTCTGTCAAAAATATTTTTTCCTTATATGCTATCTGCCTTTCAATTTTATTTAAATACAAAAATTTATTTTGCTATTATTTTGATATTAATTAAACATGTTATTAGTCTTTATATTTCTCCTTTTGGTATCATAATTATATCCTTACTGTACCAAGATATTTGATAAAGGCCATAGTAACTTTAGCAATAGTTAATTTCAGGAGAATAATGGGTGGGGACAGAAGCCAGAGCCTAAAAGCTAGTTAGTGAAAGCTTAAAAAGTCAAAGAGAAGGAGGAGGGAAAGAGAGTGATATGGTCACAAGACAATCATTAGCACTGCCTATTGACAAGACTGCCCTTATTGTGGAGATACATTAATTCACTATATTAATTTAAAACTAATAAATATTTAATTTACCTAACTTGCTCTCTTCTATCTTCATTCACATCAAGCAGCTTTCTATGTATGATTCCCTTCTAGGAGAAAATGGGCTTGTCATGAAGGCCATAATAAAATTTCTGTGACAGTTTACCATATTTCTCATTAACAAATTAAATTAACAAATTAACAAATTAAATTACAAATTAAATTAACAAATTAAATTAAAATTAACAAACCCATGTTCTCATTTCATCCATCAATACTAAATTTGTTTAATTTTACTTTGCCTCTAAAATATGATCTAATCTCCTTAAATGACAAAATTTATATTCAGGGCCTGTAAGACCAAAGTCCAGAACCCAGCCTCTGGTAAAATCAATTGGATAATTATGCCTTAGGAAATTTTGTGGGAAAGAGCCTTCTTCTACCTTAGAAAACCTAATAACCATATTGCATTTCATATTTCTGTAAGATAGGACAAGACTTTAGCAATTTAAAGAGAAATAAGAAACTAACTATTACAATAGCAATACAGCACCATTAGTGAGTTAAAATTCAGGAACATAGTCATTCCAAACATACATACTCTCCTCTCAAATCCAAGTTTGGTCAACTGGCATAATATAATGGCTATCTGGGTACCAGCCAGAATGTAATGATTTCTCCAGGACACGAGTATATTACATTATCAAGCTATTTAGAAAAAAATATCAAGATAAACTCATCTTAGAAAACTAAATTTCATAAATCAAATTACATTAAATAATAACCATATAATGAGATTTCACAACCATCATTATTCTGTGACTGCTGCCAAGAAAAAGAAACAAAATTAGTCAATTTGGCTCTGCCTCAAAATTTAGTTGCCAATTCCTTTCCAGGGACCACACTAATGAAATGGAAGCTCCAAGAGTCTCTAGTACTGCACTCTACTGCCTACCACATTACTGATCATTGTGGTTCTGACAACTCAGTATAGGAAACCTACTGCCCCTGGTAGTGAAGAAGGATGACTCTAATTGCCATTAAATGATGTCAGTGCAGAAAGCTTTCTGAATAAAAGACATGTGGTAAATGAGTTTCAGAGAAACTCACAACTCCTCCTTTTCTGCAGAGTCTACACTAGACTAATGTAGTACACTGGAGGAAGTGAAGGGGAAAACGGAAAGATAGAGTACATTCAGTGTCTTACAACATATTTAACCGACCTACTTATTTTCTAGTCATGAGACTCCTCAGCTGAATTACAATCCTAAAAGATTTTTCAAACCAAATGAAAAACAGTGACAAAATGTACTATAGGCTTATACATCCACAATCATCATAACGTACAACTGAAGGAACAATCTTGTTCTAATTTCATATTTGTAATAAACTGAAAATACGAGTGTTTGTCCTTTTATGCTTCAGTTTCCAACATCAAATGAAAATCACATACCAACTTGACAGTATTCTTAAGGTCTCTAACAATTATATCAACTTAATCTCTATAATATTAAAGACATTTCAAAGCATAGAATCAAAGACATTTTTGACATTTGAGCTTTCCAGAGAGTTATGTGATACAATAAATAAAGCAATGGATTTGGAAGAGAAAGTTACATGACCAAGAAGCAAACCACCTGACTTCTCTGCACCTTGGCTCCTTCATCTGAAAACACTAACAATTTAAACATAATGCTATCTTCAGGGCTCTACCAACTCTAATAGTCTGTGATGCAAAGAGACGAAAATAAGAGTTGAGTAGATCAGAAAATAGGAAACTTCAACATGGTTTAGAATTGTACCATTAGTCACAAAGAGTAGGAATGACAGAGAGATATAGCCAAAGCCTTTCCTTTAGAGAAATCAAAAGACACAAAAGTAATTTCTTCAGCCTGTATCTTTAAAAAGTCAAAAAATAAAGTGCAATTTAGAGTTAAACATATTAAACTGAACCTCTACTTCTTCTACCTCTACTTCTTCCCTAAACCTAACACAACTTTAAAGAGATCAAAAAGGCAGAACAGGAGAGTAAGCAACAGCAATAAATTTCCGGAAGCTGACAAACCTAAGAATAAGTAGCAACTGACTTAGGAGACTAGAGAAAACAGTACTATAACCCAGCAGTGGCAAATAGGTCAATTTCCACTACAGACTAGTTCAATAATTAGAATAAGGTGCTTCCGAGATTAAGGATAATATCAGAACTAAAACAGAATTGGCTGAAAGACTATATAATACACAGTTAGACACACAGTTTGCCTCCTCTACTTCTCCCAGTCACGTGACTGTCCCTCTCTCCTGTTGGCAAAAGACTAGAGTTGTCTCTAGATTGGTGATACCAACACAGCTGAGAATGGTACCATATAAATATGGGAGATTAAGTGAAGGCTGACATAATAAATGGTTCCAGGGCGCCTGGGTGGCTCAGTCGGTTAAGCAACTGCCTTCGGCTCAGGTCATGATCCTGGAGTCCCGGGATCGAGTCCCGCATCGGGCTCCCTGCTCGGCGGGGAGCCTGCTTCTCCCTCTGACCCTCCCCCCTCTCATGAGCTCTCTCTCTCTCTCATTCTGTCTCAAATAAATAAAAATCTTTAAAAAATAATAATAATAATAATAAATGGTTCCAATCATGATGCTGTAGCTCATTATCAGACCATCCCACTTCCCAAAACAATCAAAAACACTAAGTAAAATATATAAATGACAGAAATTGAGGGTTTATAATCCTTGAGAGGTAGGAAAATACTAGTGAGTTTCACATCCATCCCAGCCTTCTCCCTGAAGACATTTTCAAACTGCGGCATAGCACGATGGAGCTTAAGTAGAAAGCAGCAATCTTATTGAGCTGAGGAGAGAGAAGTCAGAGTTAAAGGCTGCCAAAATCCTAGAGAGAAGGAAAAAGAACAGGAAAAGCCCCAGATTCTGTATATAAACTTTTCTCCCATCAGTTAGCCCATTCCTAAATTGTGCATACAAAGAGCAAGACTAAAACACACTAGTCCTAACAAAGCCTAACACCATTCCTTGACAGGATCAAGGAAGGTGATCTGCTGATACTCCCATCAACCTGCCAGAATAAAACATAACAGTTTTTTGGAAGATACATGTTCCAGAGCCTCTATGACTTTATTTACAATATCCAGCATCCAGTCAAAAATTACAAGGCATTAAAAAACAAAAAAAACTAAATAACCAAGACCAAAAGAAACAACAGAAATAGAATCACAGGGGCACCTGGGTGGCTCAGTCGTTGAGCGTCTGCTTTTGGCTCAGGTCATGATCCCAGAGTCCTGGGATCGGGCCTGCATCGGGCTCCCTGTTCCTCGGGAGGCCTGCTTCTCCCTCTCCCACCCCCACCCAACTTGTGTTCCCTCACTCGCTGTGTCTCTCTCTGTCAAATAAATAAAATCTTAAAAAAATAAAATAAAGAAACAGAATCACAAATGACAAATATGGAGCTATCAGTAAAGGATTTTAAATAGCCCTAAGTAATATGTTCAAGAAAAGAAGAGGAAAAGATGAACAAAAGTGATTTTCTTAAAGATGGAGAACTTCAACAAAAAACTGACATTTATTTTTAAAAATTAAATGAACATTCTAGAAATGAAATATAAGATATATGAAATTAAAAAGGCATTGCATGGGTTTTACAGCAGTCAGGATACAGCAGAAGACAGGACTGTTAACCTGGAAAATGAACCAACAGAAAATATTCAAGAAAGAACAAAAACACACTCACAAAAAAGAAAAACAGGTGGAAAGATTTAATATAAGAAAGATTTTAATTCTTAGTCTCTACATTTAATTCTGCCCTATTAAAAACACAATCTTTGTGGGTGACAGTGACTAGACAAGCTGATTTGAAGTTAATATGAGAAAAAAAGAATAGTCAGAGAAATACTGAAAAAAGAAAAGAAAAAGACCAATGAAGGAAGACTTTTCTACTCAATATCAAGACACATTATAAAGCTACAATAATTATGAAATTGACAGGCAATCATTGAAGGTCCAGAAACAAATCAAAAACATTTTTGGGAGTGCCTGGGTGGCTCACTCAGTTAAGCATCTGCCTTCGGCTCAAGTCATGATCCCGGGGTCCTGGGATCGAGCCCCATGTCGGGCTCCCTGTTCAGTGGGAAGTCTGCTTCTCTCTCTCCCCTCTGCCCCCTCTCCCCTAGTGTTCTCTCTCAAATAAATAAATAAAATCTTAAAAAAAAAAAAAAAATTGGGGGGGGGCACCTGGGTGGCTCATTCAGTTAAGCGTTTGACTCTTGATTTTGGCTCAGATCATAATCTCAGGGTCATGAGATCGAGCCCCACATCTGGCTCCATGCTGGTTGTGAAGGCTGCTTAGGATTCTCCCACTCCCTCTCCCTCTCTCTCTCTCTCTCCCAAAAAAACAAAAACAAAACACCATATTTTTAACTTGGTGGATGACCATGGTGATATTTCAAATTGGTGGGGAAAAGTTAGATTTTGAAATAAATAGTATTTAGACAACTAGGAAGTAATATGGAAAAGAAAAACTTAAACCCATTTTCTTCACTTTACTGAGGATCAGTACAAATTCTAGATGATAAACTACTTAAATGTAAGAAAAAAAATAGCAATAAAACATGGGAGGATGACTTTTATAATCTTAGAGCAGGGCAGCTGAGTATGACACAAACCCAAAAAGCCTTAAGGTATTAATACAACTACATAAAAAACATGTATAAAAGGGGTGCCTGGGTGGCTCAGTCAGTTAAGTGTCCAACTCTTGATCTTGGCTCAGGTCTCAATCCCAGGGTTGTGAGTTCAAGCCCCACGCTGGGCCCATGCTGGCATGGAGCCTACTTAAAAAAGAAAAAAATCATGTATAGCAAAAGCTAGTATAAGTCAAAATTCAAATGACAAAAAGGAAAAAAATATATATATGTATTAGTTCATATCACCAAGGGCTCATTTTTCTAATAAATAAAACATTCCCACATAATCATAGGACCCAAAAAAATCTAAAAAAAATAAACAATGGATATGAAGTTACAAGTTAACAACAAAAAGGAATGTAATTAATATTAAAATGTGCAAAAGTACCCAATCTCTTGTAAAGAGAAATACAATTTTAAAGTACGGGATAAATTTTATGTTATGTATATTTTACCTTGATAAAAAAAAGTACAAGTGACAGCATTTTTCACCATTCAGAATGGCAAAATTCAAGAAGTTTGTTACTGTACTATGTTGGAGGGGAATATAAGGAAACAGAATATGGTGAGAATACAAATACTAGAGATACAAATACTAGGGAAAATAAAATTCCATAATATCTACCAAAATTGTCAGTGTCCACTTTGATCCAGCAATTCCATTTTTAGGAATCTACCCTGTAAGTATTTCCAAACATATGAAAATGATACATACACAAAGTTTCCCTGTGCAGCACTGTCTGAATTGGTAAAATGTAAATACCCATAAGCAAATCAAAAAGAAGCAACATTTATATTGATATGGATAATTTCTAAGTACCAGAATCACAAACATAGCATACTATCATTTGTGTATTAAAAGGAAATATATATAGGTATATGCTTATACTTAATTTACTTATACATGTGAACTATATACTTATTTACTTATACATGTGAACATATGCAAATATATAAAACCTCTACATGTATACACATACATTGCTTGTGTATGTAACACCTCTGAAGGGATACACAGTAAACTGGTACACCACTGGCTGCCTTCAAGGAAGGGAACTCAGTAAGAGGAAGATTTTTTTAATCTTTTGTACCTTATGAATTTTAAGCCATATGAATGTATTATTTATTCAAAATAGTAAAATTTAAAAAGTAATAAATGCTGACAGAAAGAAGAAGAATGCTAGCTAAATCAATTTCTCCAGTTAAAATCCTTGGACAGTTCCCCATTCCCAAACTTCTAACCCTGACATTCAAAGTTTTCCTATATGGCATACTTCTTTTCAACTATGTCAACTATGCTCCACAAAAATATCTTAGCCTCTAGGCAGATTAGACATCTTTCCTTACATTTAACTAAAAAAATTTTTAAGCTACAATAAGCAATGTTTGACATAATAAAATTTGTGTACCAAATACGAAAAATGCCAGAGTACATGAGCAAAAACTATATCCCCTCCAATCTGGAACTTTAAATCTCTTCAGTTGTTTCAGCTATTTGATGGACAAATTTTCCTTAAGGGAAACATTGGTAGAGGAATGTCAATAGATTTCAAGAAGTCCCTATGGTACTGTCTGCAGCTACAATCCATACATATGGTTTCCCAAATATTAAGTAACGTTTGAATGGTGGGAGAGGGACATTTACCTTCTCGGTGAGTTAAGTCCTTGACTTATTTATTATTCAAAAAAGCAGAAAGCAAAAATGGGATTTCTATTAGACTTTCTTCAAAACATTTGTTTTTCCTCTCTGTAAGCCTATACAGACAACAATTAATGGTTTCCCTAATAGAAACTACCAACGTCTAAATAATTTATATTCATGAAATGGTGTCATGACCACAATTAGATTAGAAAGGAGAGATCAGAGAAAATGTACTTGGAACACAATGTGAATGTATTAAAATGACCTCAAAAAAACTGTGGCCAAGTTCCATAACCCTTACTAAACCCCTAATGCGTGACTCTTACTGGGTAAAAACCTGTTTTCCCACAAAAGAAGCTCCTTACCTTTCACCTAGAACAAAGAGCAATCTTAAATAAAACAGATCTGTGGATTTCAATACCAAACAAATCTAAACTAGAAACAAAAGGCTACTTCTCTCCATATTTGGCTCCCCTCCATCATCTCTACAATACTGCTGCATCATAAGAAAAGGCTATTATTAGCATATATTGGATATTACTTTTAATCCTGCATAAATACTTCTGATGTTACCATGGCAATAAAAAAATTTCTGCTTCTTGGGAGCAGAGCTTACGTTAGAGAATAAAAATTAGGCCTGTATAAAAAAAGTTATGATGAACTCTCAAAGTAGTACAACTTTTAACGCCTCTCATAGGGAAACTGTTTCAAATTATGTAAACTGAAATATAAGATTATAAACTAAGCAGTTAATTGCTACTCATTTTTAATTAAAATGTATGTCACTTAAAATCGGAGACAACATAAATGCAAAGTAAATGACTGCTTATCCATACCAAGATTTGTTATTTTAATTCCTTTATCACTATAGCTTTTTAACTAATGTCCACGGACTGCTTTGTAATGTATATTGTTCTTTAGAGAATTAACATTTTAGTGAGGTGGAAGTACTATTTTCTGTGCACTTAAAGTATCCCTGCAAGCTCTATATAAGTCGAAGCAAGGTCTCCTCATTTCCAATATGATTTTACTCTTTTGTATTATCATTGCTTCCCGCAAGTTCAACTCACCTCAACGACACAGGGCGTTAGTCGGAATAACGGTCAGGATCAATAAGCAAGCATCCGCCTAGGTGTAGCAGCCTTCCTACGGCAGTTAATGAGGCAGAGGCACCATCCCGGATTTTGAAAACGACATCCTGAAAGAGAAACCAAGTCTATCTAACCTGCAGCAGCTCACAGGCCAGTTGAAGGAGGGTAATGAGACTCCCACTCCCGACACCAGACTTTGGCTGACCCCTCAGGCTTGACTTCTTCCCGCCTCCGGCAACGCCCCGTGAGACAGGTCCACACTACTCGGGGCAAACAAATTGGTTTCTGAGCCCCTTGGAAACGGCGGGCGGTGGCAGGGGGGAGTGCCCGGGTTACCGCCCCTGCAACTTCACAGAGGTTGTTGCTAGTGGCCTCGGCAGGATGGGGGTGGGGAGATGGCATTTGGGACTGGGAGGCTACCTGCCTGCCACGTCCTTCTGCCTCGCACGCCGGTACTGGACTCGGAGCTACGCGGAGAACTGCTTACGACTCGGAGCTGACGACTCCGCGCCCTAGCGCCCCCAAACCCTAGAGCGAATGCAGAGGAAGGGGGAGCGGCCGGCGCGTCACTGGCGCTGGCGTGTGACGTCAGCGCGCGGAAGCCGGCGCGCATTGGGGGGGGTGGGGGAGGAGGGGCGCGGAGGGGCGGAGCCAAGGCACCGCAGGTGGGAAATGATGCGGGAGAAGGAAAAGAGGAAAAGGAAAGAAAGGAGTAAGGCAGAGTTGAGGTCTAGAGCTCAGTAATATAAGCTGATTTTGAATAAAGCATTTTATAAATTTGTCCCACATATACTACACAGAGAAAGGGATTTTTTTTAACGTGAAGTCTGTTACTTAGGGATACCGCATTTTTGAAAGTAATTTTGCTTTAAAAAGCTAGCCTTTTTCTAGCACATTTTGGATGATCAAAGCAAGAAACTACTTTTAAGTATTGAAAACTTTTTAGAAGACTATAATGTGGCTTTCTACACCTTTACATCCAATGTGTGTATAAATTACTTGCCGGTATATTGAAAGATGGTTGAACTTCAAGGCAGGACTTGAAAAGATAAGAACAGATTTTCTTGTTTAAGGGATTAGGTCTATTGTCCTTAATAGCCCTATGGCTAAATTGCCTTACCTTGAGTACCTCTGAAATACTGGAGAATCCAAATTTGAAGCTGAAGGAGGATGATGGCTTGCCTACTACACAAGTTACACTCCAGGTTGTACCTGTTGTACATGTGATGTATGTAGCCCCCTGGAGTGTTCACAGATTTTGCCAGAAACCTCAGAGGTCAAAGATTCAGATCATTGCTTCAACGAAATCTGCTTCCTTCTCTCTCATCCTCTCTCCAACACACCAACACCCAAGACCTCTCTGAGTTTTTCCAGTTTTTGGTTTAACCATGCTTTTATAAGAAACACTTAAAAAGCAAAAAGAAAAAGAAAAAAAATTACTTTATTACTAGCGTGGAAATTGAAAGTTTTTGGCTTCTTTGCCAGAAGATGGCACTGCAAGTCATCTAACCTGGCAAACTGGAGAAAATCTGCTTTGGTTTATCTCTTCAATCTCCACCCAAGCAAAAGATTTGTTTTCTTCATTTTCTCATTTCTAGGCTAACCTCCTGTGACCCCTCCCACCCACAGTTAGTAGGAATTTTGGTGTCTGAATGCACAATAACTCTAGTGCTACCCACGTACTTTTGTACAGCAAAGCAACATAAGAATGTTGCCAATTGCCAATCTAAGTAAATTCTCTTTTGCTGCTTTCATGAAGAATGGCTAGTCAGATACCTCCTTAGGTCATTTTTCAGGCTCCTGTCATAGACTGTTGGTGGGAATATAAAATGCAACAGTCTTTGTAGAAGGTATGCTAGCAATATGCATATCCTTTTGACTTCTTTTGCCAATTCTGTAAATAGCACCATACAACATGCCACTCCCAGAGTGATAGAATTGCTGACAGAAGGGAATGGCTTAGGGGCGCCTGGGTGGTTCAGTCATTAAGTGTCTGCCTTCGGCTCAGGTCATGATCCCAGAGTCCTGGGATCGAGCCCCGCATCGGGCTCCCTGCTCAGCCAGGAGCCTGTTTCTCCCTCTCTTGCTCCCCCTGCTTGTGTTCCTCTCTCTAGCTGTCTCTCTCTGTCAAGTAAAAAATCTTAAAAAAAAAAAAAGAAGGGAATGGCTTATACAACCTCCATTCACTGGTAATCTCTGCCATTTGTTTCTCTGTACCTGCCAGGGTAGCAGCAAGACAAGTGAACAAGCAGTTCTAGACCTGGTTGGAAAAGATAAACTCTTACCACTGCAAGTTATTCTTTTTTCCCCTTCCCTGAAGGCTTAAAGATTTTGTTGGCTGGTTAGTGGGGAGGGAGTAAAGCTAATCTGAATATTGGTAGAGTTTTTGTTATTAATGCTTCAGCTCAGTTCTAATCAAAAGAAACTATAATTTCCAGTACAAGAACCTGATTTTATTCACATAACTTATTTTGCTATGCCTCCAAATATTTCCTATATGCAGAGGGCTTACTAATTTTTGCTTGTTTGGGTTTATTTTTTTTTCCAATTTTATTAAGATATCATTGACATACAACACTGTATAAGTTTAAGATGTACAGTTTAATGATTTAACTTACGTATATTATGAAATGGTTATCACAATAAGTTTAGTTAATATCCATGATTTCATATAAAGAAGAAAAAGTTGTTTCTCTCTTATAATGAGAACCTCTAGGATTTTTTCCCTTAACAACTTTCAAATATACTATACATCAGTCTTAACTATAGTCATGTTGTACATTATATTTCCAGTACTTAATTATCTTATAACTGAAAGTTTGTAGCTTTTGACACCTTTATCACATCCCCCCATGTACCCCACCCTACTGAGGCCTTTTTAAAATGCATACTAAGATCTGTGGTCAAAGATAAATTAAGCAACCAGAATAGGCAGAATAACGGCCACCCAGTTATGTCCCTGCCCCCAGTCCCTGGAATCTGTGAATATATTAGGTTACATGGCAAGTGGGAATTAAGGTTGCAGATGGAATTAAAGTTACTAATCAGCTGGCCTTAAAATAGGGAGATGATCCTCGATTATCCAGGTGGACCCAATGTAATCACAGGAGTCCTTAAAAGTGAAAGAGGAAGGCAAAAGAGTCAGAATCGGAGGGAAATGTGATTATGGAAAAAGTTTAGAATGATAGGTTATAAAGAGGACTCAACTCCGCTGTTGCTGGCTTTGAAGTTGCAAAAGACACAGAAATGGATTCTCCCCTAGAGCCTCTAGAAGGAGGCTAACACCTTTATTTTAGCTAGTGAGATTCGAGTTGAACTTCTAACCTACAGAACTCTAAGATAATAAATTTGTGTTGTTTCAAGCCACTAAATTCGTGGGAATTTGTTGCAATAGCATATTAATACAAACTCCTATTCTCTTAAGGTTCCAGGAGCAAAGTAGATCAGGCTGACAGGTAAATTATTTTTATTGCATAGGAAAAGCCCAAAGCTGGATCTGTAAAAACACCTTATTGGGAATTATCTCAGCCCAAGGAAGCTCCTTCTTAACCATCTTCCCTAAAGTAAAGAATCTGGTAAGAACCCCAATCAAACAGGATCCCTTCTGTAACACTTGCTGAGAAGAAATGAGATCAAGCTGGGAGTATTCACATTAGGACAAATAAAGAAAATGTTCAAGGGCTTTCATTGGTTATAGTCCTTACCATGTAGAACACCCAAGTCTGTTGAAGAGGAGATTTACCACCACTAGATTCTTCTAACAAAAATACTGAAGGAATTTTGGAGAAGGTTCTTCCCCAGATGGAATCTATTGTTATATCACCAAAATATCATGTAGGACATTGTTTAGATAGATCACCCCATGTCTAAAGTACTGGTTCTGGGGTGCCTGGGTGGCTCAGTTGTTAAGCATCTGCCTTCGGCTCAGGACATGGTCCCAGGGTTCTGGGATTGAGTCCCACGTTGGGCTCCCTTCTCAGCGGGAAGCCTGCTTCTCCCTCTCCCACTCCCCCTGCTTGTGTTCCCTCTCTCGCTGTGTCTCTCTCTGTCAAATAAATAAATAAAATCTTTTTTTAAAAAAAAGTACTGGTTCTAACTGAATGCTGCTTATTAACTGGGAATAATTAGGAATATGCATGTTTAGGCCTAAACCTGGAATAATTAAAACAATTTCTGACAATGGAGCCTAAGCAAGAGTATTTTTTGAAGCCCCCTAGGTGCTTTTGATGCAAAGTGAAGTTTGAGAACTGCTGACAAGATGGCTGTATGTTAGAAATCATGGATTTCAAAATAAACACATTCCTGTAAAGAAATAAGGTAGTGCACAGTATAAACAATATTACAGAGAACAAAATGTGCAAGTCAACTCATTCTTGCCCACTTCCAAGAGATCCTTAGGATAATCCCCCATGTAGGAACTAATACACTACCATAAAAGGATTTAGGATTTATTTATAAAAGGATCATAGAAAGCAGATATGATTGATTAATAGCCTGTGACTATTATCTACTATTCTCAGAATCTCTGTGCTCCTTCCCAAAATTAGGCTACATATCTGCAGTGAGAGAAGAAAACATCTAATGTCTGTAAATCTCTGGTAAAATGTGTCCAACAGTGTTCTAAGTAAAATAATATTGTGCTTGGATATTACCATGGTTCCATGAACTCTACCTTGAATAAAGTAATGAAAGAGTCATAAGAAGTTTGACTATATTGTAAACACCCCCATCATCACCATGGGCACAATACCAACTCTGTAGCCCAGAACTGTACTGTTTGAGAATATTCAATTCTGCCCTGGAAAAAAAGAAATAGGATGGACAAAACTCATGTGTTAAGCACAGATAAAGTTACTAACCTGTGACATATGGGGGATAGATAAAGTCAGCAGGGCATATACTTGTGAACATAGGTAGAAAAGGCCAGAAAGACCAAGAGATGCCTAATATTAATGAAGCACTAAGCTTACAAGAGGAATCAAATGCTCATTGAGCACTATATATTCATGATACACTCAATATACACGAGACAGTCAACAATCATGGGTCTTAATTCTGCCCCCAGTGGTGACACTCATACTGTGTCCCACATGACCTTCTCCAAAGGTGCAAAACCTGCTCACCAGGTTAATTGACAAGCTATTGATGTGCCCAGGCACTCTTGTCCTTGCATCTCTTTGGTAAAGCCAGAGTGTCATTGGCTTAAGCATCTTCCGTCTCTGAACCTTTGCTCAAACATCAACTCTGGTCCTAATTACCTCACCATCAACAGGAAGGCTAATATGCCAAGAAGAGACACAGGACATAGGAGCATTGCATAACCACATGTTTCATATCATGGGTCTTTCCTCTCCACTTGTACCCTATCTTAAGTGTGTTAATTTTTTCCCCCTATGCTTCTCATGGTATGTTAGCCTTTCTGTGACCTCTGGGATAGCTTGTCTGGTAGTATATTTGGGGGATATCATTATATTAAGGTGATTTCCCACATAACACCAAGCAGTTAATATTTGGATATTACTGGGACTGTGTGTTATAAAGAACTTTAAAACAGTGAACCTCTTTTGTCCAATATCCTATAATTTTTAACTCTGCACTCAAAAAAATACCAGTGTAGAATTTTCTGGCAACAAGGGGGAGAATCCTTAATTTTGACAGGTCCTAAGATATGTCCTTTGAAGAATTTTTAATCTTTAGGTTCTCCATATAAACCCGATTAACAATTTTTGGAATATTCACTGTAATAGAGTACAGTTTTTTTTAATTACAAGAAGCTAAATTTCTTGATCCTACAAAGGTCACTTGAGTGGCCCTCTGATTACTGTGTATGTTGGGTGACTAGACCTCATTGTTCCAGGATTAGATAACAAGAATTTTGGAGTGTTTTGCCTGTTAAAGTGGCATAGCCTGAGATTCAGACTTATGGAAATATGTGTGAACTCCTAGCTATAATTTTACACAAGACCTAGTGACAGGGAAGAGTAAAGCGGATTGTGATATAGTTACACTGAAAGAAACGTGATTTGTGGGTTAGTGCCAGCACTGAATTGGGAAGTGAATATAGTGATTTGAGTCTATGACATTGTCAGCTGGTAGAAATGGATAAATGAGCCAAAAAAAGCTAGTGCTTTAGCCTATTAAAGCATAAAACCCTTTCAGGTGAGGGTAATACAAAGGGGATTTCTTTTTCTCCAAACAACAACAAAACAAAACAAAACACCAAAAAAAACCCCAAACGAAATACTGTATCAGGGAAGAAAGGAGCACTCTTTCATCACTTTTGGTAGGTGGCTGTACATTTGAGAACAGTGACTCAAATGTATCTTCCTTTATTCTTTTTGAACTGGAATGCCAGCAACTGTTATACCTGTCCCACCATTGTATTTTGGGAGTGTTGGAACCAGACAACTTAGCTCTTTAGTTTCACAGGTCCACCTATGAAGAGTTAATAGATTACAACCAGGAGTCTCATCTTCATCTGATTTGGAAGAGATTTTGGAGTTTGAGCTGATGATATTTAGATTAAGATGAGGTTTTGTACTTCAAGCTGATGCTGTATTGGGATGAGACTAAGCAGACTCTTGGAAAAGGGTGAATGTATTTTACCTGTAAATGATCAGGGGCTAGAGTGTGGACTGTGGTAGGCAGAATTCTGAGATGGCCTCGAGCTTCCCATACCCTGATGTACACACCTGGTATAATTGCCTCTCCACAGTGTGGGCCTGTGAATACAGGGATTTCACTTCCATTATAAGGTTATTAATCAATTGACTTTGAATTAATAAAAAATTAGATTATGATGGGTGGGATTGACCTAATTATGTGACCCCTAAAAAGAAGTCAGAGAGATTCAAGAGAAATTCTCCCGCTGGCTTTGAAGACAGGTAAGCTGCTGTGTGGTGAGAGGGCCATGGAGTTAGGAATTGAGGATGGTCTCTAGGAGCTAAGAGCAATCCTGGTCAATAACTAGTAAGAAAGCAGGGACCTCAGTCCTGCAACCACAAATATATTATCCCAGGACCCTAATTAAAACCCTTTTCTGTTATATGCAGCTATCAAAAAGGAGTTGAATCTAGAATGTTGATATTAATGCTTATTGAGTGCTATGTGCCTTCAAGATCCAAGATATATATGTAAGTCAGATATTCATTACTGTCTTATACTAGAGGGCCCAAGAACTGTACATAGTCAAAAGCACTGGTGTGTAATACACAGTTTAATAAAAATTTGGTAGGGAAGCAAAGTATACAGTTCTCTTGAACATCCCCCTGTAAAACACTTGATGGCAAACTCTTCTCCAACACTTTACTCCAACCCTTCTCTGGGGCAACCTGGCTCTTTTTCTTCCCTTTTCCCTCTCAAAAGGAGAACAAAGTCCTCTTACTTCATGCCAAGCAGCTTCATGTGCTTCCCTGAATTCTAGGAACCAGCTGATACACATCTAGGGTCTTTTACCCTATACAGTTATCAAAATGTTTGGCCAAGTCAAGGCAGGCATCTCTCAACAGGGCTTCTGGTGAATAATGTTTCCTCCGTCTTTTTATATGTATAATATCTTTGTATATGCCTAGAAAGTTCCTGGAAAGTTACCCAAGACATACTTAATACTATTTTTTTTTTTTGTGGACAGTAACACTAAGGTTGGTCAGGTTGTGCAGGACATCAACTTTCAATTTGTATTTTCTGTACTGTTTCAAAATGTTTAAAGTCATTGTATTAGCTTACTAAGGCTGCTGTAACAAAGTAACACAAACTGAGGAGCTTAAAACAACAATTTATTTTCTCAGTGCTGGAGTCTAGAAATCTGAAAATTAAGGTGTCAGTAAGGTTGCACTCTCTTCCAGGGCTCCAGGGAAGAATGCTCCCTCGTTTCTTCCAGCTTCTAGTAGCCCCAATTGTTCTTTAGCTTTTGACAGCCTAACTCCATTCTCTGCCTCCATCTTCACATAGCCATCCTTCTGTCTTTGTGTCTCTTCACTTCTTGTAAGGCCACTAATTATACTGAATTAGTCCATCCTAATGACCTTACCTTGAGCACATCTGTAAAGAACATATTTCCAAATGAAGTCATATTTATGGGGTGGGGAGACATAGTCAGCCTATAATAGCCCTGGCTAACTCTTAATTAAAAAAAAAACTTTAATGTGCAACATTCTATAAGACAATGTCCTTGGTCTCTTTAAAACATTAATATCATGAAAAATTGGGGGAGGAGCTATTGAGGATTAAGAGATTTAAGAAACATACACAAAATGCAATGCTTGAAACCCGATTGAATCCTGGTCTGAAAAAAAAAAGCTGCAAAGATTTAACAACTGGCAAAATTTAAATATGGACTGGTTATTAGATATCAGGTAATTATAGTTAATTTTCATAGTTGTGATAACGGTAGTGTTCTTGTGCTGGGGAAGTTGTTATTCTTAGGAGATGCATGTTGAATTATCTAAGGGTAAAGTATAATGTCTGCATCCTACTTTTCTCATGCTTCAGGGGAAAAAAATATCCCAGTATAGATGAAGCAAATATAGCAGAATTTTTGAATGTAGGTGACTGATCCTGTCATGCCCATGATATCAATGTCATATTCAGCTATTTTAAGTTTTTAGTATTTATCATATAAAGAAATGAAAAAACATCGCATATGGGTATGCAATGTACTATTCTTTCAAGTTTTGTGGACGTTTGGATATTTTTTCTTTTTTAAAAAAGATTTTATTTATTGCCTTGAGAGAGGGCGAGACAGCAGAGAGAGGAAGAAGCCAACTCTCCCCTCAGAAGAGAGCCCCCACATGGGGCTCAAGGTAGGCTGGATCCCAGGACCCTGAGATCATGACCTGAGCAGAAGGCAGACGCTTAACGACTGAGCCACCCAGGTGCCCCAAGGATATTTTCATAACAACCTTGGGAGAAAAACTACTTACAAACAAAACTTTCCAACCATCCCCAGTTACCAACGATAAAACAAACTTTTTAGCATAACTGACTTCTGCATCATCACCTCAATTCATTATCCCCATACTACATCTTGCACATTATATTCAAGTAAGGATGACACATAACTAACTTTAGATTTCTTCCTCCCTTGCCTGAGGTTTCCACCAGGTAGTTTGCTCCTTCCCCTGAGCCCCACCCCCCCATCTCCCGCGCCTCAATTTTTTTTCAAACTCCAGATCAGATGTCAACTCCTCTGTAAAGATTTCTTCCCACACTACACTTTCAGAAGAGTGCTCCTTTTCTTGAGCAGTCATTCATTACTGCACCAGAATATAAACCCCTTGAGCACGGGGGTCGGGTTTACTGAATTTTGGCTGGCACATGTTAATTTAATAAACGTTTCCTAAAGGTAAATAAATTCAATTCGGCCGTGTAGAATCCTCAAATTACATATTTTCCCCCAAACACTTAATTTCCAAGCATTAGTTTTGAAACTGCGTAATAGCTAAAATTGGATTATCAGTTTTCTCTGCATGTATGTTGGGCACATAACCCTCAACGACATATAAGGCGCGGTGAGCCCCGCTGCATCCCCTGCTGGCGACTTAGAAACACGGACATCATTTGGTGCTGAAGGCTATTTCTCTCGATCTGTTTTAGGAAGTAGCGCTCGTGGACCGCTGCTTTTGCCTTTCGCTTTCGGGGCCGAAGCTTGCCGGGATTTCACGCGCTGCTCTGGGTCTTCGTCCTGCCGGCGTGTAATCGGAGTTCGCGAGGACGCTGGGGACTGCGCGCGCCTGCGGCCTTCCGAGAATGTTTCCCCCAACGCGGCCGCCTCCTGTCCTGTCGCGAGGTCACCAGAGGGGCAAACAGCGGAGCGTGAGTGACGTGAGCTATAGGCCAGGGAGGGGTTTCACAGCCAGCGCGGCCCTTCAGGGCTGGCCAGCTCGCCTGGCTCCTCCTCCTGCTGCCCCAGCCCCGGCCCGCCCCCCGTTTCCACATTGCCCAATAGGCGCGTACGCGGCTCCAACCGCGGCCGGTGGAGGAGGTGTTCGGCGGCCAGACGCTGAGCGGCCGTTCACGTCAACGCGGTGACGTCACGCGTAGACGCACCTGTCGGGCTCCCTTCTCCTGCTGTTTCTCTTCCCCTTCCGTGGCTCGGGGCCGGTCTGGTCCGGAACCCACAGCCCCTTTTTCACAGTGCCTGTTCGCCCGCGGCCAGGAATTGGGCTGCGTAATGAGGGAGGAGGGTGTGGTGGGTTGAAAGGCATTCTACTTCATTTCCGAGTTGGAGCGTGGATTCAGTGTTAGTCTTTAAGAGGGAAGTGAGGTTGGAGATTTTTATTTTTTAATTTTGGGTGGAAGCAGTTGACTTTAGGGCCCTCCAAAGGAAGCGGATTTAACTTAATGCTGCTCCCGTGTTTGAAGGAGGACAAAAAAGGTCCCACCTGGCAAAATTTCCCTAACCTCTTTAGTAGAAAACCCAAGGTATCTTTTAAATTGCAGTAGTTTTTGTTGTGTCAAGCTTTCTTCAGGTGGAGCTCCCACGGTAGCTAGGTTTTTAGGTTTGAAACAGATGCAGAATCCAAAGGCAGCGCAAAAAACAGCCACCGATTTTGCTATGCCTCTGAGCTGCAAGGTGAGTTGCATTGTATGAGTGAAGATTCGTTAGCTGTCATGTTCACGGATTTTGGGTCAACTGTGATGCCAGGGCTCTCGTCTTGGTTTGTCTTATACCTACATGATGTCACACCTACACTGATTAGGTATATACCCTCGGACATTCTTTAAGATTTCGCCTATTTCCTTTAGGAACCGTCGAAGGACCTTTGAATAGAGTGGAAGTAGGTCCCAGGAAAAGATTAATATTGAACTCAGAGAGTGGGTTTTACTTTTGCTAAAATTGCCCAAATTTAAGTTAATATTCAGTTTTTCTATCTTTAGTCTAAATTTATGTGTATATCAAGACATAGTTTTGTATGTATGTGACATTTGTGTTTTGATCTTAAACTTGGATCAGAAACTACCTTAGAATCTCAAATTAATTTTGCATATAATAGGCTTTATTTGTATAGTATTTAAAACTGGAGCATTATACATATGTGTAAGATTTCTGAGATTTCTTTCTCTTTCAGAGGGAAAAAAACCCCTGCTATAAGAACTGAATCAACCTTTTTTTTTTTTTTTGGTAATTAGAAAGTTCAGTTCTGCAAACTAAACTTTTTTGAGCCATGCAGTTTAGTCACTGCAGCATCGTTGTGGCTTGTGTCATTGTTGAATCTTTTCAGAAATGCTTTGCTTTTCATCTCTGAACAGTTTAATTTAATTTACAAGATTCTTTTCTTGATGAGGTCTGTATGGAAATAGTTTAACTGATGTCAGTCAATTTTATGTGCCTTTGTGACTCACTAGAAAATACTATCTGTGTAGCTCAAGAGTACATATAAGAATCCTAATGTATATATTGTTGATTTTCATCTTAAAAGGTACTGCTGATTGTTGTTACATAGTGTGGCTTAAAAACCAGTTGTGTGACCTACAGATATTTTCTCAAATTGAGTATGCTTTTATGACCTCTGGTTGATAGGAACAGCCACCATTGGCAGAATCCATGCCATCGCCCTCCCACACCCTACCTCCCAGACTTTTCAAAGACTGATTCTTTGCTTGGAAAATGGGTCAAATGATTTTAAGAGGTCAATATAATATATAGTACTTATATCTTGGAAACTGTGTCTTAAGCATGTGTTTTCAATCATACATAGTTCATTAAGAATGTAAAAATCCAACTTGGTAATGGGTATATAGTTCAGGGGAACAGATTTCTTGAGGTTATGGTTTTATATTAATAAATTGGCTATTTTCCAAGTTGTGTTGGTGATAGGCTTTCCATTTCCTGTCCGGTGACATGTTGGTAATAATTTTCAGACCGCTCAGGAAGCCAGATTTGATCTCTGTGGTGGGTCAGATATCAAAGCAGTATTCTGTGGCATTTGGCCACTCTCACTGCTTTGTAGAACTTTCATCTGAGTTTCTAGTCAAACTTGTCTGCAGCGATCTAAAACATATGATGTAATAAGTGTTAATATTTATTGAGCAAGTTCTGTGGTTTTGGATCATTTCTAAGTGTTTTTTGTGGATTATCTCAATTATCACACCAACCCCAGGAAATTGGTATTTTGTTTTCCTATTATACAGATGTGGAAACTGAGGCACAGAGGATTTAATTAACTTGCCCAAGGTCTCAGTAAGTGTCACAACTGGCAGTATGATTTCAGAGCTCTTGCTCTTTTTTTTTTTTTTTAAAGATTTTATTTATTTATTCATGAGAGACAGAGAGAGAGAGAGAGAGAGAGGCAGAGGGAGAAGCAGGCTCCCAAGGAGCAGGGAGCCCGATGTGGGACTCGATCCCAGGACGCTGGGATCATGACCTGAGCCGAAGGCAGACGCTTAACCATCTGAGCCACCCAGGCGCCCGTCAGAGCTCTTGCTCTTAATGGCTGTGCTATATTTCATGTAAGACAGTCAAAATGTTAGAAGAAAAGTTAGGATGAGAGGTATGGCACCATAGGTTCATTTATTTTTCAATTATAAAAGTAATGTAAAATTACAGAAACTCTGGAAAATAAATTTTGAAACCTTCATTCTACTTTAATAAACTTTTTTTGTGTGTTTTCTCATACCCACATTCACACGTGTATAGAAACATTGTGGCTGTGATTCATTTTCTTTCTTTCTTTCTTTCTTTCTTTCTTTCTTTCTTTCTTTCTTTCTTTCTTTCTTTTAAGATTTTATTCATTTATTTGACACAGAGAGATACCGCGCGAGAGAGAACACATTTGATTTTTAAAGATGAATGTTCTTAAGTATAAAATGTAGGATCAACCCTGCAGGGAAACTGCCCATTTGCATTGCTGAAATACAGAGAGATTTGATCTGCATCTTTGACTGGAACCAGTTAAATAAGTATATTTTTTGCCCTTTTGAGAAGTATTCAAACAGTTTGTCTTGTACAATCATGAAAATTATTTCGTTTTCAAAGTGTAAGTCTTCCACATCATCTTTTTGTTGAATTATTGCTTAACTTTCTTTTTTCTTACAGTCTAAGCCTTATATTTGTATTTTTACTTTTGAAATTATCTAGTATTTAACTTCTGAATGGCTCCAAAAAATTTTATGAATCTAGGAAACTTTCTTCAGAGAAAACATCTACTTCTTTTAGAGGGTTATTCATTTAATACTTTTTTTTGAAGAAAAACATAAGCACAACTATTTGGACATGGAGCTAACTTAATAGAGATAAAATATCAAGTAATACTGCTTTGGGGAGAAATCAGTTTCATTATTGTCATATCTTGTATGTGGTGACGATTTGTATCAGAATAAATACTTTCTTACTACTGTGATGTTCTCACCTAAGTTTCGTGATGTTGTATGGGGTGGAGGGGTCATTCTTTGGTGAAATAAATTTGATAAGCTTTTTCTAAAATTTTTCACGAAGTTAGTGTTTACCCCACGTTTTCTCAAGAGCCTTTCCTATGCTGTTAGCCATTACAATTCTAGAATGGGGTATGCTGTATTACCCAAACTTACTTGACTCTGAAATCTTTTACTGGGCTTGTATTCTGTGCACATACTCATCTTCAAATATTTTTGTTGCCTTCTTGGCTCCATAGCTTGATTCATGTGAGTAGTTTTGCTTCAGTTAACTTCTCCCATGTCTGCCCCATAAAATCCCACTTATCTTTTAAGGTCAAACTCAAGTGTGTCTCTTCCAGAGAAGGCTTCTCACCATCAGTCACACTGGGATGAGAGCTCTTTTTTTTCGAGCTCTTATAACTACTGGTGTCTTCTGTGACATCTCTCATGTACTGCTTTTTATTATACGGCTATATATTACCTTCTAGAGAAGTATTACACCATCCCTTTTGAGACAGTATGTAATGCAGTTGATGCTGAACTTGACTGAAAGCTGTAAGGCCTATGGAAACATGATGACATTAATCAATAAAAATTGTGTTTAGGGGCACCTGGCTGGCTCTGTCAGGAGAGCTTTGCTTCATTTTGATTGTTGACCAGTACTTAGCAATAGTTAGAATAGTTATATGAGATGCTTAAAGTATTAACATGAAAATGCTCCTTATACACAAATGGTTAGATCAGTCAGCGTTTTACTTCTCTGCCGTCATTGCTTATGAAACTTTTGTCCATCTCTCTAGTTGCTAATATTTGGGATTTTCTTTCCTTTTTTCACTGAGATTGTGCCTTTTTTTCTATTTAGCTTACTAGCTAGCCAGATAGCTGACTGATAAACCTTTGAAACTTAGCCATGATCCTTAGCCCTACCTAGTCTCCTTTACAAGAGAGGCAAAACTTTGTTGGGAGCTATGGAAAATTGGTGTACCTACCTCGGGCTGTGTGAGTCCCTTAGCCACAAATTTACAGGGTCTTCCTATTTATGCTCCCACCCCCCAATTCTGGGGGTGTTCTGCTTAGTGTACGCAGTTTGGGTACTAGATTGGTGTACTGAATGAAGGTAACCATTTCCTTCATTGTAGTCTGGCCCAGTAGAACTAAAGCCTAGGTGTGTAATCCTATAGTTGGAAAGAACACTCTGATCCTAAGTCCCATAAGATGTAGGAGACTGAAATTTGTTTCTTTCAACTGTTTTGAATCAGTTAGTCAAGTCAGAAACCTAGCAGATATCTTAGATTTTTTTCTTCACTGTTCCTCACAATTTGTTAGTTACCATGTCCTCTTAAATACTTCTCAGAATTCTTTTTACTCCATATTGTGATGTCTTAGGTTATTTATGCCTTCAGTATCTCATGTTTAGGATTGTTCAAGGTTCTACTGGAATTAGGGTCACCTAACTCCCCTTTCAGTCTCTGGTCTTCTATCTTCCATACTGCTGCTGCTGTTGGTTTGCTAAAATTCATAGTTGGTCATGTGGTTTGTCTTAAAAACTCTTAATGGTTTCTCATGTATATAAATGAGTAAATAAGTTCTTTAGCACAATGTATGAGCTCTTGCCTTTATGATCTGGCCTGTGTCCACCTCTCCAGCTACTCTCCAGTTACTTACCTCTTATTTAAGCTACCCAAGCAGGTTTTGTTACTATGCTGCTGTGTTTTTGCATGTACTTTTTTTTTCTTTCTGTATTGACTTTTCACCTCATAGTTAGCCCAGTTCACTCATCCTAATCCTTCAATACTCAGCTTAAACATTCCCTTTATTAAATATTCACACTTTTCCAAGTAGCATACTTATTCCTTTTCAGTGTTGTCAAATACCTTGTATATACCTCTCCGTTGATATTTGTCATACCATACTATAGTTATTTGTATGTCTTTTACCTTCACTGCTTTGGGAATAGGGACCATATTTTACTCATTACCCCAGTACCTGGCTTTGTGCCTGGTACGTGATGGGTACTGAGTAAATGGTTGTCAAATAAATTAATAGGTGATTCTGAAAACTAATCTTGGCCATGAGGGAGATGATGATCCTGTAAGCTGAGATAGGGAGTGCAGGAGGACAAGCAAGTTTGGGGCAAATATTTATTCAGCTTCAGTTTTGTTGAATTAGAGTTTGTATATAGCATCCAAGTAGAGATGTGCCATTTGTTTGTTATGCATT